TGGTTTGCTTTCTCTATGGGTCAGTAACTGTGTTCTGTTGGGACTGAAGGCATCCCCAGATTATTGTGACATATACCTTCCTTCTCTGTATTATGTGGTTTTAACGGTATCATGTCAAAATCTGTCCCCTGTATTTTTCTTTATAACCAGTGTTGTCCTCAATATCTGTTCCACCTAGTCTCCCTTTTTTTGGTCTCCTTCCTCCTGAGAGATTCTTGTGGCTCAAAGGGTTTAAGCATAAAATGAACATACCTCCCTAACAAACACTGTAAAAGCGGCGATATGTGATGAACCAGCTTGCTGTTTGGTTATTTGGTTATGTCAGTTTGAAGCATTTCCACTTGAGTTATAGTAGAATTGAAAGATTTTGCTGCATCATGGCAAAAACACTCACTCGCAAACATATTCTAGCTTACATCTTGTATATAGCCATGCAGATAGATTGTGTTGTTCTGCCTTCACCCGAGTAGTTTCCACTGGATCTATTTCTTTGGTTGGAAGTTGTTCCAATAGATAATGCATCGTTAAAAGTTGTTAATAAACTGTTGTGAGCTCCACAAACCAAGATTTGGGAATCAGGATCGATAAAGTATCCATCTATCTATCTAAAGCTGAAATAATCTGCATGGCTTGACACCACAATATAAACTAACAAACACAATTAGATCACAGTCAATCATAATATTGTAACCATACAACGTAGACTTACTACAAGCTGATACTATGTTATATGCTCCTGTAAATTAAGGATCAAGCTGGAAGTCATTGGAAAGAAGTCATTTATAATGGTTTATGGGATGTGTAGATTCCTTCCTCCACTATTTTATGCAGACATCTTATAAGGACTTAAAGAAATGTCAATGGAGACAAAATTAATGTGTAATTTACTTCCAGAACCAGAGCCGTTCATAAAGTGGGCAGTTACTGTTGGCTCTATGTCTCTTGTTTTGAAGGTATTGGACAATAACATTTTGAGCTGATGGCTGAAGGTAAAGGATCAACTTTTTATGACTTACTTGCTCCTGCTAGGGGGAGTGTGACTGCCTCTGCCAAGTGTGCTGGCAATCCCTCCTATAGTTGTTGAGACATTTCCCCCAAAACCTCAGAGTGGTGCTAGGTGCTCTTGAGACGTGCTGCGGGCATTGCTAGAAAATATGTGCTTTTGAAATGTGATGTGAGTATTTTCAGAGATTTATAAATATCAAAGATGTGCTTCTTTCAAGACTTGCCAGTCAGTGGCAATCAATGGAATGTGAGGCTGAGATACCAATATCCTCACATCTTAAAGAGCTAAACTGACTGTAGAGGAGAACGGGGTAAGACAAGACACTTTTTAAATTTGATGATTTTACTGTGAAACAGAAGTGTATTTAATAGATACTATAGTATCAGTTGTTCTGTACCCAGGGAAATTAAGTTATCTAATTATTATTTTTAGTATGGTTTCAGAACAATGACCCATCAAAAAAAGTTGGTCCTTGCATCACCTTTCTTGAGAGGGGGATCTCTTAGTCTCTGAAAACAGAAGACAACACCTCAGTCTCAGCTTTGCTTTGAATGTTAAAGGCTACTCACATTAGCATGCTAAAATGTGCCCTGACCTGTGTAGCCACTCCTACAGCTAATGTGACAAACAACTCCTGGGTGCATCACATGTCTCATATTGATTAGGTTGAACGTTGTCTTTCAGAAGGTGGATTTTCACTTTAACTAAAATAATATTTCATCCTAATATTCGAGAGCAGCCCTAAAAAAGGTAGCACATGAATGTGAAAAATATTTTACTTATTGCAGTAATTTTACCATCCTGTTATTAATAACATTAATCATAAAGGGACTTTAACTATACAAACAGCATCTTCTATATGTATGTAATCACAACATGCATATTTATAAATTACACCCAGTGTTTCTCTTTTAGCTGTGTCATGGTGAGAAAGCTTTCTCTCCAGCTCAGTTGCATCGTTGTGTACGTGGTGACCTTCTGTTTATACCATGGCGTGGACAAATGCTCATTTCAAAGTGGCCCAAAGAAGTTGGTTAATTTAGTTGATACCAGAGGCAGGATGAACAGGCTGGATTACTGCAGGGAGGGAGGGTTTCATTTCAGATAATCTAATGGCTCTCCAGTATTACACAACCTTTCAAGTGAAGAATCCCAATGAGCCATTACATAACTGAGATAGCCAGATGAAGCAGTGTAAAATCATCTCTGATGTTTTCTTTATTATTTACCTCCATTATATATATATTATATATAGTGCACACCTACAATATATATAGGAGTAAGCATACACAGTACACATATTAAGTCTTGACCTGGCCTGACTTATTGTTTCATATGACTAAATGTATCTTGATAAGAGTGAGGACTCTTCGGGGGCGATGAAGGTTGTTACAGCTCTCATGATGCAGCTTTTAAGAAGCCTCAGTGCCATCAGGATTAGCTGGGATTATTGCTGCCAACAGTAAACAGGTGTAAACTCTTGCACCTTCAGAGTCTGAATTTTCCAGACTAATGTAATGATATTACTGGAAAACAGTTTCAAATTCAGTTCATAATGAATGCCAAACTCCTGTGATAACAGATGAGCATTTGCTGTCTGGCAAGGTGCCCTGGTATAAGCAGGTAACCGACTGTGAGTTGCATGTTTAATGATGGATACAGCAGACATGATAACAACAGTTTTATCCATTCAAATCAAACATGCACCTCAGTGGGTATTCGTTTGAATGTCTCCTTTCATTTCCAGAAAATGTTAAAGGAAATACAGTATGTATGGACAGATGTATGGTCAAAACAGAGATGTAACATTATAAGTTGTGTTTGTTTTTGTATGTTTTGGTATGCAAAAGAAACTTTAGAGATTACTTGTAAAATATGCAAAAGATAAAAATCTTTTGTTGTTGTCTGTGGTGTGGAGCTTTGCATTTCACAAATAGTTGTATTTTTAAATGTAATCAGTCAACAAAATATTGTAAAATACTGAAAAAGGAAAACAATATGCTCACAATTACAGTATGTGAATCCACTGCTTCTGTAAATATCTCATAGCTGCAAGACAATTTTCATAATTTGAGATCAAGATGTTCTGGTTGTGTTTGAATTGATGGAATGTAAAGTCTGCACCACATTTTCAGTGTTTGTTTAAATAACAGTCATTTTCTGACGTAACTCTTTTTGTCACTCTCTCCCTCTTCAATGAATAGCTTTGCATAAACCCAGATGCCTCCCCTCCCTCTTGACGAGCGCATAGTGGTCATTCAACGCCCTAAAAACTTAGCCCTGTGCCCTGAGAGTTCCCCACAAACCATCCAGCAGCATTCCTCTCAAATATCAGCCTCTTCCAATGGACAAGTCGGCCACCCTACTCATCTCCACCCTTCACATTCCCATTTCTATTCACCAGCCTGTAAATCTCTGACTCTGGAATGCAAGCGCAGATCTTCCCGTGTGCAGAAATCCAAGAACGACCAGCCTGTTCTACCAGCGGGGGTGAGACACATCCCTAGCCACTGCCATAGCAATGGCACAGTAACTCTCGGCCCACGGCTTCCCTCCCACACACATACTATTGATATCAGGGTGACTGTGGACAAAAGGGGACGAGGAGGAGGATTCAGCAACTCGTTAGGCCGCAGCGGCAGTGTAAAAGGTGGCAGAGGGAAATGTGCTTCTTCACAGTTGGATCAAGGACAATGTGAGCGAAAAAGTGGAACCACAGGGAGGCCAGGTGGAACTGAAAACAAGTCACAGCGAGGTCGCCATAGTCAGCTGTCAACTTTCCCTGGAGGGGTCCTGCAGTTCGTCCCCGCTCAGGCACAGCAGCAAAAATTCAGGAGTGAAAAGGAGAAGGAAAATAGTAGGTTTCCTAAAAGAAGTGACCAAGAATTTCCTTCTCTAGGTCCCAAGAAGAATTCCAAACTGGGAACTGTTCATCAAAGCCATAATAGTCACAGTCTACCCCAGCACCAGAACTCCGTCCCTGTTCCCCATGCTGCCATCCTAAACTCCAACTATCCCACATCCTCTCCCTCCCAACCCACCAATGTCCCAACCTTGTTTCAGCAACTCAGCCAACAACACCCATCCCGCTCCAGGGATCACCGTCCCCACATTCTTCATGGTCTGCCCCTCTCCCCGTGCTCCTCCCGTGCCGGAGGGTTCCCCAGCCCCGACCACACCTGCACCATTGACTGCACCCACCCATTCAGTTGCGGCTGCTGGAGGTTGGTAAGATGCAGAGGGTGTAAAGCAAACTCTGCTCACTGCCAAGGAGGTGGAGGAAGCTCTTCCACCTCATTTTCTTGTACTCACAATGTTGGAGCAGTGAAGAGAGGAGGCAAAGAAATGGGCCTGAGAAATCTGGGTGGGTGTCTCTCCACTGCCTCGACATCCAACACTTCCTCTTCAAACAGCACTGTGTCTGACTGCCGTGCAAGCCTGTTCAAACCTCTCCGCTGTGCCTCCTGCTCTGGTGAGGCCAGAAACTTTGAGAGTCCTGCTATACTTCGCAAAAAACTAGTAGGGGGATGTCTACCCTGCACCCCTCTGTCCTCCTCAGCCCCTCTGCGGGCTATACAGAGCTGTGTCACGGGTTGCAACCCCAAAGCCTCTCAAACAGGTAGTTCCACCTGCAGTTACTGCAGCAGCGACCCCATAGTCGTCACATTCAACCCTCGTAGAGGAAAACCCCCAGGAAGAGGCATCGGTGCAGCTCATCCAATGGGTGTGTTCCAAGCCGATGATGATGACTACAGCGTCCGTACTATCTGGCCTGAAGAACTGGCCAAGAAGATGACCCATTCTAAAGCCCAAAAGAATCACTGTGCTGGAATGGGAGCAGGAGTAGGGAACACCTGTGCAAGTCAGGCCCAAAATGGTAGTAATGGAACAGGCCTAGTCCTCTTGGACTGTCAAAACCTCCAAGAATATGGGCAGTCTCAGCATACAGACCATGCTGGCCGTCGGCGGCTTCAGCAGGGAAGAATGGCTGCCCTTGATTTTATGGGCCGCAGGTCAGGATCTGGCTATGACGAAGGCTGGAACTCACTGCAGAGACTTTTGAATAAAGCAGAAGATGGAGGAATGGACAATGGTCTGGAGCAAGATGGAGATGCATCATATCCTCGTTCCCCTTCTCCCCGGTCTGAGTCCCCGCCTTCCCCTGTGTCCTTTTCGCCTCCACCGTCTGCCCCGAGCACACTCATCAAACCACAGCCCTGGCAGAGAGACAGGGAGGGAGGACACTCTCTGCCGACAGCTCAGTCCCTTCACCTAGCCCTGAACTCCCTGAACAGAGAGCAAGATGAGGAGAACAGCAGAAGTAAGAACCTCATAAGAGTCATGTGTGCAAGTGGTAAAAACAATGACAAACAATGAGTGCAGAATATTAAATCAGAAAGCTTTGTCATTTGAATGTTGAATGCTGTTTAGCAGTATTGTTCCATCCAAAAATCCCTGTTAGTTTCAACTTTATCCAGAGCCAATTCCCCCATAAGAACAAAATAGGCAAAGTATTCATTCCCAAATGTTTTGTAGCAATCGAATATGGCTAAATAGCTTCCAGACTAATATGACTTAGTGTGATTTAGTGATTTCAATTGTGATTTAGCTAGGCCAGATTTTGTCCCCTATATACCTTTTTAAGTATCATTATTGTCTTTTCATGCAGCTACACTTTCTCTCTGCTTGTCTTCTTCCAGTGCACCTTTCTCTGCCACTTTCTTCATCATTGCCGGCATCTCTGTCCGATGAGAGTTTGATGACTCCTGATGCGGAGAACGCTGTGGTCAGTCCTATCCTGCCCTTCCTGTTTCTGGGGAACGAGAGAGACGCTCAAGACCTGGACCTGCTGCTGCGCCTCAACATCGGCTACGTGGTCAACGTGACCACACACCTTCCCCTCTACCACGTCAACTCTGGACTGCGCTACAAAAGGCTGCCAGCCACTGACAACAGCAAGCAAAACCTTCGACAGTACTTTGAGGAGGTTTTTGAATTCATTGGTGAGTCCCACCAAATGTATATTATATATTCTTGGAGGACTACAGTTAGAAGAGACCTACCGTGAATTCACATTTGGGTACATAGTTGGCTGGGTGTTTATTGTTGAAGATAAATTTTACATACCCTTCACACCTAAAACATTGGTGATATGGTTCCCTGTCTTTGTTATGCTCCAGTACCTTGTAAAAGACATGTTTTTAAAGACATACGTTCCATCTATTTAGTTCCAAGTTCCTTCATAGAGCAGAAAACAACTCTGCATTTCTGTTGGAATCAAGATGATCTTGATTGGCTGTTGCTTATATTGTGTCAAACTATTTCCTGCTTAGTTCCTTTTGGAGTCTGACACGCTCAGCCGGCAAAGCCACGTCTCATTCATTATGAACTGTAGCTGTCACTGTCCTAGTTTTTTTAATCTATATATGTCAATGCACTATTAGTAACACATTACAGTAATGTGATTGTTTTTCAGTAATGAGATTACAAATTTAAATTCAGTTATTGCATTACAGTTATAAGTCGCACGGTGTTGCTTTGACATTTTGGGTGTCTGCTTGTTTACTGTCGCGTTAAGAGTTTAATGAAGGGTTGATATAAATTTTCTGTGCACTCAGTGAAGAGAGCAGTCCAGGACATGTTAGCTTGGCACAACAGCAGGAATTGTGGGGAGGAGGCTCGCCTCTACCAAAAGAGGAGAAGTGCAACATCTCGTAACTCCACAATTTTTGTATTTAGATGTTTGTGGCTGCTTGCTGGACACCGGTAGCTTTTCTTACATGAGGTGATGAATCTACATTGAGGAATCAGTTGGTTTGTGCTCAGGTTTTGAACTGCACCATATTCATAGTCACCAGGCCGAGGCTAGCAGTTGGTGGTCAGTTATTACTGTACCTCCAAAATGAAGGCTGGCAGCTGGTAAACAACAGTAATATGTTTTCTATTTTCATGAAAATAGAAAAGATTTAAGGTCAGGGTGTTGAGGTGCGGTAAAAGAAACATATGTATACGTATAGAAATACATTAATATATAAATAAATGAAGAAACACATTAATAAATAATTAAATTTAGAAAAATACATTTATAATTTCAGAAAAAGTATTTTTAGTACAATGTCAAACTGGAAGTTGGGTATACTGATACAAATCCTGGAGGCGGCTGTTTCAATTTTTCAATTCAAGTTCTATTGGGTCTTGATTGAAATTAGAAACATGCACATTGACTTCCCTCATTTTCATTTTGAGCAGAAGATTTGATACCTTGTTCACAGGCCTTTACAAAATGTACGTTGTTCATAAGTTCTAATGACTGGAATGATGTTTTATATTCAGCGCCACTCACAGCTGACCAGCCTGCAACATTTTTCACTGCCTGAATTCACCCATCGCTCATCTGTTCTGTTGTTCTCTCATCCACAGAGGAGGCATATCAGAGTGGACAGGGAGTGTTGGTGCACTGCCAGGCCGGCGTCTCTCGTTCTGCCACCATCGTCATCGCCTACCTTATGAAGCACACCCTCATGACAATGACCGATGCCTACAAATACGTGCGGAGCCGTCGCCCTGTGGTGTCCCCGAATCTGAACTTCATGGGTCAGCTGTTGGAGTTCGAGAGGGACCTCAACTCTGGGGTGACCCCTCGCATCCTGATGCCTAAACTGAGCGGTGTGGAGACGCAGGTGTGAGCACATGGGGATGCCGCTGACGAGGGATTATGGTGGCATGAAAGGAAGAGAGTGGCTGACCGGAAGACAGAAATAGTACAACTGGAAAATGTTGGCGCATCGGCACTTTTAACGCGAGACTGAAACATGAGACTGGATGCTTCATTTGTTAAAGTCGTAACTCTTCATCATTCAGTGTACTGTTTAGGTGCCAATATTTTGTATAGATCCAGCATCACTCTCAGATATCTGTTTTTCTCTGATGCCTCTTCCTTTTTGTTCCCATCACTTACATTCCCACAAAGAAACAGTTGCCATCAAGAACAAATGCATGCAGAACGTGAACACAAACAAGGAAAGCTGCTAATGTCTTACTTCAGCCACTGATATCTCCACCACATGTAGCAACCCTGTGCATTTCCTACATTTGTCACAGGGAGGAGAATTTGTTACGCAGACCTCAGTTACTGTTTTTGCTCAATATCATCATGTGTATTGGTGAATTTCCTGTTTTAAAACTGTAGCACAGAGTAGCATGGACCTAGTAGGGATGTGAGTAGCATTAACCTGGGAAACGTATTGCAAAAGAGACAAACAGCTCATGGGAAAGTCTTAGTTTATTTCAGTGAAAGAGCCAGTGTACAAGCAAAGAAAAAGTATCAGAAATAAAGGTGTGTACACTCGTGAGTGAGTAGCTCACAGGTCAATACACTGAAATAAGCTCGACTAAGACATATTGAGAGCTGAGTTGGACTTTCAGAGATTTTTTTTACAGCGTATTTTAGCTTAGCTGTGTGTCAGCAGGTATTATCCTGCTATTATAATGTGCTTTAAGACAACAGACCTTCTCCAACTGTGCGCTATTTCTTCCATGGTTAATCAATCATTAAAAAGATGCTTTTTTTTATTCCTTTTTTTTGTGATGTTAATAGTTAATTAATGCATGAAAACAGGCCTGTTATATTGCACAGAGAGATATTGCTTCAAATTTCAATACAGCACATTGGTTTATTGGAGAAAACAGTAAAAACAAAGAGGCAACATTTAACATCCTTCTCAACCTGACTGGTCACGAACAAAGAGCCAAACTATTCATTTTGTGTTATGGTGAAAAACTGTCAAACTACAAGACTTTATTTTTTAACTTTCAATTTATTTACTGGTGTCTATTGTTTTAACAAATCAACACAATAATTGGAAAATTCATTTTTATATCATCTTACTCTAAACCACCTCAAAGCCAAATCTACTATATATATTATTTGAATTCCTTTGTGAAGGAATCAGAAAACAACTGTTATGGTGATTGGTTGAGATTAGATTAAGATCAGCTTTTCCTTTGCCTTATCGTCCTCACTCAAGTTCTTAACTTTCTCCCTCTTGACTATGCATTATATATTTTTCATTAGTGTGAAGGCTTTAGTTTGATTAAGGATTCACTGTGAACTTTTCCTCTGTATTGTTAAGGTTAAGTCCTCCACAAATAATTACAATTACAATCATGATATACAAAGCCTGTACACATTAACTCCTGTTCTCCTCTGATCTGGGCCGACAGGGATGTGATACAATCTGCAGTATGTCTGCCTTTGACTTGCAGGATGTTTGAAGTACCACAGCTTCCATATAATATCAGTTCATTCATTTTAAAGAAAAGAAGAGATTTCTTGGATGAAAATCCTTTGCACATTTTCTGCCATGCATTTTGTGATAGCATGCTGTTAATATATACAGTGATGTGAACATTTGCAAAAAGTAAACAATTCAATTTGTCGAGCATCACCTATAAAATAGAATCAAATGTGACGTACGTGTAAAGACAGATTCTTGATTGACCTTGTTCTCTAGGTCCTGTAAAAACACTTGAAGTAAATGTCTGTGCAGACTGACAGGGACACGCCCATGCACTCTGAAAGTCCAGGGCTTTGTAACACAGCTATTATTGATTTTATTGATTTTATATTGATTAAAAAGTGTGACCATACAAAATCAAACCAATCCAAACTAGAGTGTGACAGAATATAAACGTCACTCCTGAGTTAAGACTTCACAAACTTTAGTATTCTTATAATATTGGAACCTTGGAACTTACAATGAAGTATGAGGGCCATTTTGAAAGACAGAGATTTTTAAGATTTTGAGAATAATTTCATTGTATTATGAGAATAAAGATGTGATTCACCGAGAAAAATCTCATTATACTACGAAGATAAAGACAAAAAAAGGAAATAACAGGAACTCGTACTTGCCAAAGCTCCACTCTTTCTGGATTCTTGATGGCCCTCTTTTCAAAGTCCTGATATTTATGATAATGTGGTGCTGATGTTTCGTGAAGCTTATAATGAAGTATAACTTAACAAGATACTCCACATTCCTCATTTTAAAGCAGCCAACGGCCTGATCTCCTGCTACTCCTCCTCTAACATGACAAGAGGCCTAAAATTATGACTTTTGTTCTCCTAAATTGTAATCTTATTCTCATAATGTTATGACTTTATTCTTGTAATATTACAACTTTATCCTCAAGGTTTTCTTCCACTTTAATTGTCTCTGATACTCCCTCATGAGAACAAAATCCCAGTTGCCCCTTTCCCATATTTAAACATGTGATTGAAAAAATGCTACATTTTTCTAAAACCAAAATGCCTTCAGTTTAGCTTTGTGTAATTTGGTCCTTTGGTTTAATACGACTTTGTGAAATGATGCTGACTTTTGCTCGTTGGATTTATTTTCTGGCTAGGTGACTTTGATATAGGCTATATATTTTTCTACAGTCAAACATCCACATCATGTTGGGTATATACGCACATATATCTGTGTATTTGCCATTTTTTTTACATGAATCTTTCTTTTATATTCAAACAGAACGACATCTTCCACCTCCGCAGTGACAGTGTGGATCCTCTGCTGTGTTTTTGAGTTGCAGTATTACACTAGTTGTCAGACCTCAGTAAAGGTGACTCAGCAAACCATATTCCTGTTTTTACCTCTCGCCTGCACTTCAGCTGGAGGGACATTAAACCAAACATGCCCTTCACTCGTCCAGTCTCTCCAGCTCAGCTCACAGTGGGTGTAGTGTTGTAACCTTTGAAGAGGGCCTGTTGCTATTGCTCCTTGATTTTTTTTATACGGACTTAATATGCAAAATGGCTGTGGAGGCAGTTTCTTTACTTCCACTGTATGGACTTGCTGTGCAGCCGAGTCGATGCTGACCTCAGATGTTTGTACTCGAGAGACACGTCGAAGGAAACCGAGCGTTTTCTCTTTCATTTCTGTGAACTGGAGGGTCAGTGTCTCTGTGAGTGTCGGTGTGTGTTCAAATCTTTTGTTTGTGTTGAAAAGAGGAACGCTGTTACTGTGTGTATGATAGTGTTTTGAAAACAGTGTATATCCATGCATTATTGCTTATTTGTGGGAACTGAATTATTCCTGTTTGTATTTTATTGTTCATTTTTAAACATCGTGTTATTTCCTGTAACAAATACTGAATTTAAGGACTCATTGCGATGATGATGAGGATGATGTTTAAGAAAAAAGCAGATCACCTCCTCTCTTCTAATGGGGGTAAGAACTCTTCAGGTACGACTATCATAGTAATACTGTGCCGTTTCACCCCACTATCCAAAAACTCATGTTATCTAACCTCTTCTGTCGCCCGCTCCCTTTTCATAATGGATTGTTTCTCTTGAGCAAATGTAATATTTTCATATTGTAGTAACTGGTTCTTGTATTTAGACAAATGTTTCTACCTTCATGTACTGACTATAATCTTCATAACTCTTTGAGGTGCACTGTGACTAATACAATGCTGCTATATCACAAGGACTTTTATTTTGTACATTGCATTTTCGCGGATGCAAAGTGGTGAGTTGTCACTAAAGGTGACAGATGCAAAATGGGCTTGAATACAGAATCCCTGCGTACGTTGCTCCAGCTCAACCCGGGCTTCGATGTGCTGCCTTGATGCGGTGTATAAATCTCAGTGACTGTGTGTAACTGTGGGTGTGTAGCAGTTCCTGTTGGTCTTCCTTACGAGCATGATAGCAGCTGCAGAGAGAGTAAAATGTAGCAGTAAAATGTTTTGAAACCCCATCTCACTGGTCACTGTGTTTAAATAAAACTGTGGTGTTGCTTTTTGTTCTGCGACAGTGTTCATTTTGACAGATTTTTGTTTTAAGTTTTGGTCAGTTTTATTTCTGCCCATAGTGATGGTAAAATGTCTGAGCATTGGAATATTTGACATAGATCTGGATACTTCAAGCTATCAGCACTTATCAGAAAAACACAATGATCACATGACTTAAAAACCATCAAGTTAAAACATAAATGCTACAAATGAAATTTTGATTTTGATCATATGTTACTACATTCAATCAAAGTGCATGTGCTCATGACATCTGCAGAATTGATCATTTACTATTTGAGTGAAATCAAATGCATCAGTAAAACCAACACAAAACACAGGATTTAAAAAACAGAATAATAATAATATTTACTTTTTTTTGGCAATTTTTCAGTGACATGGTTCAAAAGATGGTAACAGTCACTCCACCACTGAAGTAGCTTGAGACAGACATTCATGGTCCCCAGAGGATGAATCCCTCTGAGTTTGGTGAATCTGATGGTTTTACGTTGTCTGTAACACCTCTAGATTAGTTCTTTAATGAAATATCCCAACAACTATTGGGTATATTGCCAAGAAATTGGATTCAGATATCCCCAGTCCGCAGAGGATGATCCTCATGTGGGTGCCCAAGTATCTTCTCACCTCCTACTTTGGTTTGTGAGTCTTGGTTATACTGAGGTACTTATTTAAACCTGCATTACATAGATATGATTCTGAATGTTGCTGTGCATATTAACATTAGTGTGACACTCTGCAAACTTTAACATACAACCTGCATATGTTAGGTTAAAGAATTTTAGTTGATTCTAGCTCCATAGGATGATTGTTTTTGTTACCGGTTGAACAAACAACTAAAATACAGTGGCATCTAGTGTTTGTTGACTGACTGAACAACAACAGCGATTATTGCAATATCATGATACAGACAAAAATATAAACCCACACACAGAGAAAGATGAATTATGGGCCTTTTCTCTTTTAATTTGCATGAAACCAAACCTTATAAAAAAATTGCAAATACATTATGTTCGTCTTAATTTGCTTATTATTAAGTATAATAATCTATAGATCTCAGACATAAACACATGTCCAAAATAATGCTTCAATAAATCACCTCGTTCCACTAAATAATAACTCATCAGAGAATCTGTAGCGATATCAAGCCAGTCAGTGTCAAGACTATTTTCTCATTTGTACACCGGCCTTCCGAGCATCCAGGACTTCCTGAATGAAGCAGCAGCATCAATTACATACAAAAATGTAGATGACAAGAAAAGTAATGTGTGTAAACATTGATCACTGGTTCACATATTCTTCATTGACATGACAATGACATGTCAAACTTATGTCCAGGCAGAACAGTTGTGCCATACACAGACACACTACTGGCTGCATGAGGAGGCTTGAAAATAACAGTTTTCTCTTGAAGTGCTCTGTAGACATGCGGACCGCTCTGTGTGAGAGATAAACTCAGTTCACACATGCTCTGTCTCTTCCCTTTCTGACATGTGTGATGATCAGCAGCAGCTCTGATTACTAATCTGGTGCCTGTGTTGGCTGATGTCTCGTCCTCTCCTCTGTTGTTTAAAGCTGAATATGATAATGTCACCATAATAGCATAAAGTGTGCAGTACAAAACCTTATGGCTGGATCGTGAAGTTGTTCTCCGTGTTCATTTCAAGTAAACACATTGGAACTGGCTCTTTTAATAAAAAAAACAACAAATAAACTGAGAAATAATATCTGTTGCTTCAATTTGTGAATTATTTTCATGACAGGCTGGTGCTCGCTCTGCCTGCAGATCGCCAGCTCCCTCTGAATGAAATCACAAGTGTGTGTTTGGAAAGTATTGAGCAGTGTCTTCACCGTCGATACAAACAGCCAATTGTGATTGATGATTCAGACGATCACCCCACCCAGATCTGCTTGGCTCATCGTTACATAAGAGCTGGTTTGGAATTCACAGCTGTGTGGTGGTAGCACCCGGGGGCTGATCGATCAGAGAGAGGTTGAAACAAACTCAGTATGTGCCTGGTAATAACTGTGAATAAACAGCATGAGCGAGGTGGGGCAGTGCTGTACTGACTGTGGTGTACACACAGTCAGTACAGGTTTGTTTTCCGCAATGACTCCTCAGATGCTAACCTGGAAATCAGAGCACGCATTTTCTATTTTCATGTTTTTGCCAGAATAGAATGTCATCACATTATCCAATATATCACTAATTAGGGGGTTAGATAGATTGAGAGTAGACATTCATGGTCATGGTCATGCATGGTAGACATTTAGAAGGTAAATCCTGATTTTTCAATGATCATCACATTTATGGTTTTCAGACAAAATATCTCCCAAAAAATATTATTAAGGATTTCTTATTTGGGGCCTCATGAGAAAACTGTTGAAACTAAAATGAAACTCAGAGCTCAAACCTCCGCCAAGACCAAACAGTCCTCTTTTGACTTTATTTGGATCTGCACCACAATGCACACATCTATAAATATCAGTCTACAAAACATGACAGACTGTTTTTCATCACGATCCATGAATTATTCTCTGAGAAATCAAGGAAGCTGTTGAAAAAACACTGATCAGAATCTGCACCAACTTGAATGGCTTCTTTCTTGGGTCATTCACCACACTAACGAACAAACGCAGAGGAAAACATCACCTCCTTGACGGAGCCAATATTTCATACATATTTATATAGAGAGCTAATGACAAAGAGGCTTTTTAATTCACCTCAGTAAAACACTACGATCCTAAATGTTTCCATACCTCATCTGCTGTCACTCCCCAGACAGTATCTGGTGTACATCATTGTTTCACTGAATTGTACTTATACACTAAATGAAAAAATACTGACTGCTGTCTTCACTCCACTGAATAATCAAGATGCAGACATCAGCTATTGCTGCACGATTGCCTGTAACATACAACGATATGGTGAATGTATTATTTTAATTTTACTTTAATAGCAGCTCTATTGAAAAAGTCTGCGATCTTCAGATAATAAGGGTCAGATAACGAATTGTACTCTTGAATTCATACACGACAGCTGCTGCTGAGCTTTAAACACATCCAGCGTTTCAGTGTCTATTCACCATCGAGTCCCATCATAGAATCAATGGCTCAAATGGTTTTGAAATGAAAATCTTTTACCAACATTGTTTCGATATTTATCGACTTCAACCTCGAGGCAGTGAACTGCATCAGTGGCTGCACAGACAGTTTTATATGAAACTGCAGTTTGCTTGAGGGGCCAATGATTATCTGACAGACTTGTGCAAGACACAGAGATAACAAGTCAGGTCTCACTTTGACTTTTATCCATTTTTTAAAACAATCAAACTGTCTGGCGACTAAACTCTGTCAGATTTTATTAAATGTGAATTTGTATTTGTGTCTGAAGCTAAAAAAACTAAAAGAAATCAGCAGAGAGGACAGAGCTGTTTCTCCAGGAGGCCCCACTGTGCCACAGTAGGAATTAGGTTCAGCTTACTTAAGGACTACTAATTAACTTTTGAGAGTTAATTAATATTACACAATTTAACACACAACTGAATTAATAATTTAAATGTTCTTTGCTTGATACAGTGCTTGATTTAGGTAGTTATTTTGGAAGGACATTTAAAGTTAACTTATCTGATAAACATATTACAGATAATTTTACACTTATTTTAATTGTGCATTGCCTTATACTTTTAACTCATTATGTCAGTGTATTAATAAATGACCCGCTGGCTGCACCCACACTAATTACAAACAGAGTATGACCTGCAGAGATGAAAGAGGAGCTCTCAGGGACCATCTGGTGAGCGTTTTAGACACGGCCCTTGCAGTCATGTACTGGTTTGTACCTGCTGTCACTGTTTTTCAGAGTCTGTGCCAGGACACACACAAAAAAAATAAAGAAACAGTCCACGAGGATTAAAACTGGTTCTTAAAATGACATGCAATACTGCCAAGTCCCTCTTGGATTATCGACGTGATGCAGAAGCATAAACTAGGCTTTATAAGACGTGGGTTTACACCTCAGATGTGTCACATCTAACCAGTTGGGATTTTGCTCAGCAGAAAAAGACATGACACAAACTTGTCCTGAATACCAGTGACCAGCCCCCTATTCAAAGTAAAACCTGTACTGTATATAATGTTTATAGATACAGATCTAACAGGCTCCATATGTCTGCTGGTCCAGGTTAAAGACTGCTGATCAAGACTTTGCAGTGCTGGCTCCTCGGCTAAATACATCCTTCCACAGACTATTACATCATCTGACTGTTGCTTCTTTTAAATCTTAAAACTTACTTTTACAGATAGGCTTTTTTTAACTGATGGATCTTTCTTCTGTTGTGAGAGTTTTTATCTTTTTAACTTTATAATGTGTTCGTGTACATACATATCCATTCATGTTTTGTATGCATTAAATGGATGTTTTAAATGCACGTGTTACATTATTTACCCCTGCTATAACCTCAGTGAAGTGTCTTTCACTGATGTAGTAACAGAAAGTTAAAGCTTTTAACACATTTCTAATCATCTATAACGATCAACTTCAGTAGTGAGAAACATTTTGTGTGTGTGTGAAATATTTTTTAGCTGTTAACACACGTGATCACACAAAGGCCAATTCATATCTGCTTTAAATCTATTAGTGTTAATGTTTATTCATGACAACACTTCACTGTTCATTAGTTTCAATTTCAATTTGAATCATTTGGGTTCAACAGCTTCCAAATGACCAACGGTCATTTATTAATATCTGATGTTTCTGTGCACCAAGTTATTATTAGGATTTTGGAAGATGTAATGAATATTTACCTGAAAAAAGCTGGGTGTTCACAGATCTTCTGACTGGTTCATAATTAGAAGTCTGGTTATGAGTTGTCGTCACTCGTCACTATGCAACCAAACCTGCCAGCATCATCCAGCAGATGGAGTCCTTCAGCTGCAGCCACCAGACCTCCTCACAGGGTTTAGCTGCAGCTCCTGACAGAGAAGTCAATGCTCAAGTTAGTCATGTCCTCAATTTAACAGAAAAAAATGCAGCTCTTTGCCGTCTGGTGGTTACATCACAGTGGTAAACATAGTTTTCATCTAGGGCTTTACTTGAATATTCAAAATTTTAAGATAATGCATATTAGTTTCAGAGCTATAACAAATAAACAGCCTAAACAAATTAGTACATTGTTAAATGGACAGATGAAAAGATTTGATCATGTTTACAGTCAATTCTATTTGTTATTTACCATAGGAAACTTAACACAGAAGAAGTAGCCCTGACAATACAGTCTCATTTTAAAATGCAAGAGCAATCAAGTAAAATATCAATCAAATGAAATCAAAAATATAAAAACAAAAATGTTGAAATAAAGATTACAATGTATTGTGCTGTGTGGGAGAATTTTTGAATGTGTTGCTCAATTTCCTTTATGGACACAAAGAACAGGGGATTTCTGTTTGTAAATTAACATATGTGTAAGAGGGATTTGGCAAGAAGCAAGATCAGACTGATGTGGGAAAAATTATCGTCCTTGAGTCAACGTCTTTTTAAAATGTTAATTCACAAGATGAAAACAAATTAGAAACAGTTTTAAGATGCAAAGAAAAAAATGTGTCTTTTTTTTTTTTCTTTACTGTTTCACATACAAATCCTGTGAAATTTACCGTGCACAATCATTCGGTTTAAAATGAATTCAGAGTTTTAAATCTCATTTTTTTATATTTAACACTATGATTAGAAATGTTGTATTTAAGTTTATTCCCCCGGGAGCCGGAGACTTTTTACGGCAAGCACGAGGGACAATTTAGCGGGAACGCGAAGCTGCCTCCTCGCCACCAGAGACGATAAAAACTACAAGATAAGTCACCGCCGGGGGAAAAAACAGAAACAGCAGCGCAGCGCCATTAAAGCCGAGCACTCACTAGCTTAGCAAAACATGGCGTCGGGCATTTGTCGTGACTCCAGTTGCTTGTTGACGGGTAGACTGTCTCTACGTACGTCTCTACAAACGTGTGATTTAAGAACAATCATAATCTTTGTTGATCAGGTGCACACACACTAACAGCTGCTGTTGTGGTCGTCGAGTTTGCTCACTACAGCCAGTCTGCACATTCACAGATACTTTGGATCTGTAGCACATTTACATATTTATATTTATATATATTCACATTTAACCACCAGCAGAAAGCTCTCAGTTTAAATTGTGATGCAAACCTCTGAACCAGACTGCAGCAGTCCCCATAGCAACAGAGGAGAGGGTGGGCATCACTACAGCCACAGAGAGGAATGGTGAATCAGGAGATCACATCCCAAGCTGCAAATGGTCTTTTAGCATTAAAATAACTAACCACATAGACCACCCTGCTTTCTGTGTCACAGTTTGAAACCTGAGACTTTCCATTTGGCCCTGATTTCCTTAACAGGAGGTATGGTACAGTCCACCCCCACAAGATAACCACCACCAAAGGCTTCCCCTCCCTCCATCTGGCAGCTACCACTCGCCATGGATGGGGGTGATCCTCTCCATCCACCACAAACCTAGTGCTCATTGTAGCAGAATCGCAGTGCACTGGACTGTACAGAGCAGGGTACCATCCAGGCTGTTGTCTGTGAGGGGTGGGGTCCGGCTACACTGATACCACCAAACATAAGCTCACAGACTGACACGGGAGAGGCAAAAAAGGGGAGAGAAAAAAGAGAGAGAGAAGAGGGGGGAAGATTGCACCTGAAGAGGAATATAAAACGGGTAAGGAGAAAAGGGGGTGGATGGATGGAGAAGGGAAAAGACAATGGGGAAAGGTCCAGAATGGTTCATATAGATCTGCTCCTTCTAGGCTTTTTTTAACCTGTTCACTTGCTTCTCTTTCCATCTGTGGCAGATTTTTTTCCAGTCATATGTAGATTTATTCATGATTTCATAAATGTCTGTACGGCTGCAGTGCTTATTTCTCTCTACATTTGATATCTCTGTGGTGATTCTTGCTCGTGGTGGGAGAATCTGTGGGCCACGGTGGATAAATCTGACCATTTGGCCCAGATCACATTGTTTTTTGAGGGAGGGGGGGAAATCTGTTTTCGTGACCATACTGTATATGATGACATAATGTAGTGGCTGTGCCAATTCTATGACAAAATAGTGACTGATATGTATACTTGGTTATTGGCGACTTGCTGGTTTCTTGTGTGGTTTGCAGGCAAAGCCTAAACGAGCAATAAAATACAGTAACTTTTGAGATGAATAACAGTACATGCATGTGTTTGTATTAAAACTCTAAGTCCACACATATAGTTCATTTTATCAGACACCTATAGAAAGATCTATTAAAAATCTTATTTGGTTATCAGTGTAAATGGGTGCCTGAATACGAAAACATTTTAACTGAATGCAACCTAGATACGTACATTTTTAATCCATTTTCAGTTTTAGAAATATATTTCTATGGCAAGGAGAAGTAGATCAATTATCCCTGGGGATAGGACTATAAGAAAATGGTCATTATTGAATGAGTTTGTGTGTGATTCAAATAACTGTTGCTGTGTTTGTGGCCAGAATGAAAGGAGACACCCCAGTGAACAGCACAATGAGCGTCGGTCAAGCCAGGAAACTGGTGGAGCAACTGAAGATAGAGGCTAGTTTCTGCAGGATAAAGGTAAGACAAGCTCATTGCCTCCGATTCAAATGTAAGTCATGGCACTGCAACACTGGAAAACATACTGTACATATGATACAGGAGTAAAAACAAATGGACAGTGTGCAGACATACTTTCATCTGAAATTAAACAGTAATATAGCATAGTAACTTTAGAAGCTATCTATATGCAGTTATAAGAAATGGAAAAAATATTTTTTTTAAACATCTCACAATGTCAAAGAAAGTAAAGTAAAAACAAATCCTGCATCTGCCCCCTGTTCTGGATCCACGCCACGTTTTAATGGAATCTTCTTTGAGCCATGTCACAAAATTGCATGGAAATCGGTTGAGAAGTTTTTGTGTCATCCTACTAAAAATAACAAACGCTATAATAACCTTTGCAGAGGTAACTACAAAATGCCAGTTAACATTAGAGGAGAAAGCAAAAATAACAACGGAATCTGAAACCTAAATATTCAATCAATAAAGACAGTTACCACTATGTAGAGTTTAGATTCTAGACCTTAAAACACGTCTAGAGAAAATATTTCAATCTGCTTTTGAATTTCTGAGAAGGTATAAGAAATAAATTCCTCTGGGCCAGACATCAGATACAGTAGATTGGTTTAGATGTAGACGAGCACCAGTGACCTTCTAAGATTCACTTTGAGTCAGTGCTTCCCACTGGAGTGTTTCCAAACAGTATTGGTTTCTATCATGTTCCTAATGGCTTCACAAATAACTTGCACGGGCACCTTTCCTCTTCAAAAAGAACAACACGTCAGCAGAAAAGTTCAGCAAAGGAGAAAACTTTTAGTTCTGTGCTTTTAAAGACTCTTGTCACTACATTTTACTTTTTGGATTTGCAGGGAAACAATTTAGAGCAAGAAAAACCTGACGGTGCATTCAGACACATGACAATTCCTTTAGTCAGAGGCTCAGAATAATGAACTTCCTTCTATTAATAACAAGTCTGCTCTGAGTCATGTACCACTCTTTTTTAAAACTGATGAGTGAAATAAAACAGGCGTGTTACATGTGTTCGGACATATTTTGACAGGAAATTTGTTACTGGCTTCAATGTTTATTTTTGTCCTTGTGTTGAGTTCACTGCTGTATGATGATGTGTGTAATTTACAGTAACATGTCCACGTACACAAATTCACAGCTTTTGTAGAGACACATTAGATCCAGTTTGATTTACAGTGAATCATTGAGTTTTGGTGATCTTTATCTTTAAGTCCTCATGAGGAAATCCATGTCACTGTCACACTTAATGTTCAGACTTGGGCTTCAAATTCATGAATGTGTTTGCAGGGGGGCTCTTAAATGTAGACAATGAAGATTAGTATGACGTATTGTTGGAACTACACAGTGTATGTAGTGATTTATTGGGTCTTCATGTAGTTCAAGATAAATTCTTTCAATTTATCACTAGAATAGCACTCAGTAGAGTTCATACCTCCACCAAGTCCCAACAGTCCCCTCATGAAACAACATTTAAATTCACTAGATGCACAGTTTGAAAAATTGCACACTCATAAATATCAGTCTCCTAAACATGTCTGATATTTTTCATCAGGATTCATGAATTATTTTCTGGGAAATCAAGGGAAATCCTATTTCACAATGTTAAAATAAAAAAGATCCTGGATCTGCACAAAATGAAATGGTTTCTTCTTACTGTGAAATTAGAATCTGTTATGTAGTTGTGTTATCTTCCTCACAAAAAAACCAACCTACCAACAGACAGTGGTGAAAACATGCTTGGTGGAGGTAAAAGTCTCTCTGATCATTCTTGTTAATAATTTGAGTTGTTGGCGGCTTTTAAAAGCGGAGAATGTGATGTCTTCCGTGTCTCGAGACAGGTGAATGAAATCAAATGAACAACTTGGATTTTTCTTTAATCTTAATTGTTGACTGAGACTAATTGTTGAAAACTGCGTCATCTACTGTAATCATGTTCCCAAACTGCTCTCAACCTGACCCCCCTCGCCTCCAGGTGTCGAAAGCAGCAGCCGATCTGATGGCGTACTGCGACGCACACTCCTGCGACGACCCTCTGATCACCCCTGTGCCCACCTCAGAGAACCCCTTCAGGGAGAAGAAGTTCTTTTGTGCTCTGCTTTAAATCAAATCAGGGATTGTTGTGATTTTAAAAAAAGTACAACTGTACAGTATGTACATGTATGTACAGTGTGTACACGTACTTCCATTTGAGAGACATCGATGTACTATAGTAACCTTGCATAAAAGCTGCCGATGTACAGTACATTATCAACTACATGTCTTGAAGTGAATTCTTTAACTAACATTAGAGTGAAAGAACAAAAATAACAGAGAGATTTAAAACATTGAATCAATAAAGAGAGAGTTATCTACTAGATCTCAAAACAAGACCAGAAGTGTAAAGAAAGGACGTTTTACGTGCAATCATCACCTGGTTGAAAACAGACATCTCATGCTCATTCACATCACAGGTAACTGCCAAGAAGGACAACAGAGGCTCCACCAGTCACACTCACTCATTGGTATAGATTCTGCAGCTCTTGAAACATTCGTCTGAGGCATTCAATTCCCACAATCGGTCTATTATGGATTATGGTGGTGCTACATGTCTCAGATGATGCCCTGATTGGTCAGGACAGAGTTCTCCCCCATATAAACTGTGCGTTCAATGGCAACTAAGAAAGTCCCATTAATAACAGTAACGTTTGGTGTGATCGCAACCGTTTCCTGTCAGAAAGGAAATGCTTATTTTACACAGAAGTCTTAATACTGAATGTTCCTCCATGTATATGTAGATTGTCCTTTAGAGCTGCATCCCATGTGAATATATTTTGTATTCTCCCATCCTCTTTTTGGCAGTTACTTGTTATCTACCAAGGACAACTATTTATAAGTGGATTGTTTCATTATAATCAAATCCTGTCATGGTTTTATTAAGATTTTACCATTGTGCTCATTTCTATACTGTTGCTATAGTGTGAATGTGGAAGTGTGTGTGTGCGCGCTCATAGGTGCTACTGTAATACTTCAAACAATTCTGAGCATCTGATCTGTGATATCAATGTTTTATAGTTCAACAGCACACTGACCCAAGTTTAAATATATATATATTAAAAAAATATCACACATTCCAGGGGTTGTGGACATTTAATATACAATCTAAGCCATTGAAGCAGAATCAGCTAATCAGTCACATAAACAATTTTCTAAAAGTATTGTACTTTTATCATTGTCATCATTTGATCAGGTGTGAGAGGAAACAACTATAATGTGTCTGCACATCATTGTGAAATAATGGCTGAAGAGAGTGAACTGGGAATTCACATTTTAATTAAAAGGTTTCGCTTTCTCCATCTATAGCACATGCCATTGTTTTGTTCTGTTCATTCAGATCCACACAAAAGGAAACTGCTCTTCTTCAATCTAGCATTGTTGACATGATGAATCATTATGGGGCAACCTGCTCTGGTCAAATGTATTTTTAAAAAGATCAAATTTGGAGCTTTGGTGAAAAAGTAACCATTGAACGAACATTGAAATAAAATAAAAAACTTCCCATCATCAATGGTTTTCTCTCATCTGTGACTTTATTCAAGATAATATATAAAAGCTCAATTTCCAGTAAAATGCAAACACATCAGCCAGTGTTTTAACAAGTAGCCGCTACACAACAGGTACATCTTCATTTAGCTGGTGACTGCAAGCATTCGTTAACATGAGTGGAACATTATGTGACACAGCCTAGACATGCCATGCACTACTGTATAGTTTATAGTTCATCTAATCAACTGTGTAAACTAATATGCATTAAGGCATCTTATGTTTAGAAACACACTCTAAGTTAATATCAAGCTCAGTTATGAAGATCTGACCATTAGTTATCAAATAGATTTTTAACTTTAGTTGTTCTCGGGTAAACTACACACACAGTGGGGGTGTTATGCCTCAATTTGTTTTTTTATATATATGAGACACAGCCAGGTTCTGCAGGGGCCTCTAATACATTCTTTTGTAAGAGTACAGCATTTTAGCACCCATCCAGAAAGGGACAAACAGGGCCCTCATCATGCCATGGGTATTGGTTTTTATTAGGATCACTTCCACATCAGTCACAACTCGCAACTCATTTGCTTTGAACCCGCACTTAAGGCTGCTGCTTTGTTTACTACAAACAAACAAAATGTGCAGCTTTGTCCAACTAATTTAGTAAAACATCTAGTTGTTAATATAAAGGCTGATGTTTCAATGGTAAAAGACTTGGACACCTGTTTGACAGTGGTGTGAGTTTGGCCATTGACATCTTTATTTATACACATTTCAATCTACAGGGTGAAACAAGCTTTTAGCAGACCCCACAAGGGAGTCTGGCCATTTTGCTCCACTCGTTGCAGGATAAACTGTTAAATGTTTGTACTATTATTTAGTATCTATGCATAGAGAACTGTCATTTGCATTTTTTGGGTTATAATTTGGGTCACATCCGATTCAAAGCACTTCAAGCTAACAATCCACCTCCTCATGAAATCTTTTAAACTTTGGTGGATTAACATATCAAACTGTGAAACGTGGTTTTTTTTTTGTTTTTGTTTTTTTAGATGACAGCTTTGAACTTTCCAATGGCTTTAAAAACAGTGTGCAGGTTTTCTACTATAGTGCTACACGACAAAGACCATGAGAAGGGCATGTGTGTGTTACTTTAGGGGGTTGTGGGATTTCAGAAATACACCAACAGCTTTCAGTAGAATTTAAAAACAAACACTTCCATTAAGTGTGTAGTGTCCCTTCATATGTGCTGTGCATCTGGATTAAATTGAGACCATGAAAGAGGTAATGTTGAGTTTGAAGTTGAGTAGTAGAAAACAGTGATTGAGTAGTTTATAGGAAGGCGTCACACCATTCTTTCAGACAGCCGTAGCAGTCATTTTGTTGTTTGGAATTTGCCTGGCAAGTGTCCTTCAGCCAATCCCGGAAAAGCTCCTCATCTTTCTTAAGCACTAGAAACTGCCCGAGGACAACATACGCCTGTGGACATATAAATACAGACAAAGGAAAATCGAATTAAAATAGATATATAAAAGTTACAGGACATAGCACATCAAATGTCCAAGCTCAACTAAAGCATGCAAGAGTTATTAACACCTGTGCAGTGATGACAGCAGGTATGTGGAAATGGGATGGGCTTGCAATTTACAGTACAGAGAACAGGTTTCCTACCATCATATGACTAAACCCAATGAGCAGGATAAAATGACACTTAACTGAACGTAATCAAAGGCTGCTAAAAAAAATTCTTTACAAATATTGCGAAGCTAACTGCTCCACTGCCATCAAATCGTGTTGTGTCTAGGGGAGTGTGCTATTGCCAAAAATAATATCTCGATATTTTATGGGATTTTGCCGATAACAATGATTAGACCACTGGTGGAGCCATCAAATATTTGGCTGGTGCAGAGGAGCGTTCCGTGTGCCTGTATCTGGGCTTTGCTCACTTCGGCTTGGCCTGTGGCACTTGTGTGAGGCGCCTGGCTCTTACTCACTCACTCACTCACTCACTGAGAGAGAGGGGCGCACGCTCAATGTGGCTCTACCAAATACTCGGTAACTTTAGTTCGCATTTATAGAAGATAAATATCGCACACCCCTAGCTGTGCCGTCAGACACTTAAAGAGCTTTTGTCAAAGTTTTTCGCGCACCAACAAGGAAAAGACTGACAATATATTGTTTGTAGTCTTAATGATGCAAAGCTAGCAATTGTTTTCAACAATTAAATCTGCCACAGACATAGAATTAAAAAGATTGAAGTCTAACCTTTAACTGACAGAGAAAATAATTGTGTCTCATTTGTGATCATATTTGTTTTGTAGTGTAAACAACAGCATGTATTTCGTTTTTACAGAATACACATTGGATAGATGTGTCCAAAAGGGTCCATGTGCCTGTTGTCGGGGAGTATAAGTAAGAATTTAGGTGACACAAAAGTAATGCACTTCCAAATGCTCAAACACATGATCATTATACAAACTGTGCCAGTTTGACTATCAGGGAATTCTAACCAACTGCTGTGAGGATACCAGTATCTAGTATCAGTAGTATCTGATATAAACTGATAACTTTATATACTTTATCAGTAGCTTCAACCTAGTCCATGCCTTTAAGGTACAGTGTGTAGAATTTTGTGATATCTAGTGTTGAAATTGCATGTTGCAGCTGAACACCCCTCACCTCACCTTCCCTTTCCAAACATGAAAAAGAACCTGTGGTAAACTTCAGTTGTTATAAAAACTCAAAAGGTGTTTAGTTTGTTCAGTCTGGACTAATGTAAAAAAACATGGCGGCCTCCGTAGAGAGGCTCCCCTCGATGTAAATAAGAACTATTTAAATATAAAGGGCCTTTTCTGGGGTAAAGAAAACTACAGTTCATAAAATTTAGATTAAACAACTAGTGAAAACAACATGAGGATTACTCTACATTGAATTACTGCTAATAGTTCACTTTCACCTAAATCTTACACACTGGATCATATATTTATTAGGCCTTATAAAAAAATCACCTTGTCAAAACCTTTCTTCTCCAGTCTACTGCCAAGGGCCTCTCCGATGCCTGCCAGAGCCATCACGGGCTTCTCACCCATGGGCTCGGCCACAAAGTCTTTATGCTTTTGGGATGTCGATGACATGGCTGCTCTGATGGGTGCTGCAGATCACCAGAAAGCGAGCTGTAAAACAAAGACCAAATAATGGAAATGAAAATACAATGGTGGTATTAAATTTCCCCAAATGATTTATCCCTCTTGGACAATAAGGAACTATTTGAATAAACTTACTCTTCATTTCTAGTGAGGACAAATGTTCCATCCACAACAGATGAAAGTGAAGCAGTTGGAATAACAATTGACTTGTTGACTTTAATTTAATTTCACGTGACTTGCTTTCTTAGCAAATTCTTTACATGTAATGAGAAACAACGGATCTATACAGATGGTGAGTTGACACGAACATCGATGGAACTCAATCAAATTACAGTGGTAGTACGGGTTTTACAAGAATCCATAGTTCAGCGTAATCACTGTGACAAAGAAACTGAAAGCATCAAACATTTCAACGACAGGTTCATTAAATATATCTGATAATAATAATAATGTTTGTCCGGTTTCCTGTATCTCGCAGTGACCACATTGATCGCGGTGCCTCTGTTTACACTCGGTGAATACTTATCATTGATGCCATGCACGCTTACTGCGGAATTACGCGCGCATTGCATTTCCATGCTAACAGCTTTAGCACAAGGAGCTAACGCTCACTAGCCGGAGACGTGCTAATACCAGGAGCGGCTGCTTGTTAGCTAGCTGCGTTTTAACGGTGGCTCAGTTTCCAGACATGAAACCCTCGCGTGTCTCCTCTCCGAGCCGCAGTGTGCAACTCTGAGGTAAGAAGACGCTGCTCGCATTTTAGGCGCCTTCGAGTCAACTTTAGATCGATGTAGCTTCAACGTTAGCAAGCTAACTCTTCCATTGTGGAGGGAGCGTGGCTTCAGGTTGTCTGTGATCAACAGGCACCGATCAGCCCGCCTGAAGGTTCTGAAGGTTCTGACTGAGCGTGTTCCTACCTGTTAGTGTCGTGTTCACTCAGACCGACGTGCTGCTCTGCTGAGGAGCTGCAGGAGCTGGAGGATGCTTTCTGTTTCTGTTCAGCCAGCGGCGGCGGGGACCACAATTCACCGCGCCTGCCTCTGCGCCCTTACGTTACGTGGTGTTCTTCTTCTCTGATATTTTTGCTGCAGTTGGTATCCGTCGCATTGCTGCCACCCTCAGGCTGTATTCCTTATCGTCATCATATTGAAAACGTTCCTAAATATAGACTTTATATATATATTTTATATACAATAATACAAATTGCAAAACCTACTGTGCAATACCTCACAATGTGTAATATTCATACCATAACGTGCAATATACATATTTATGAAACACTGTATTTATCTGTAAATATAAATACATATTCCTCAAGACCATGCACCTTACCTCTTTTTTGCACTGTTACCTAACCTTACTTTATGTCATATGTTTATATTGTATATATCTTTACACTGGTTGCAATGTTATTGGAGTGGTTTTTAAATCTCATTGTACATGTGTATAGTGACAATAAAGGCATTCTATTCTAAATACAATATCACTTTACAGAATACAGTTTGTAGGGCTTACTTACAATGTATTGCACAACCCCTTCCTGGTGCTTTTTGTATTTTGTCATGTGTTTCATATTTGTATATTTTACAAACATTTTTATATCTATATTTACACAAATACACCACAGCGAATTCCTTGTTTGTGTAAACCTGCTTGACACCTGATTCTGATACAACAGTATGTACACACAAAAACCATCTGTAACAGGAGTAGGATAAACATTCTGAGGTCAAATGTCACCAAACAGTACTACCTACACTATAAACAACACAGGAAAACCTTGATTATTGCTTTCAGGGATAATGTTTATTTACTAACATGAGACAAGATACAGAGGCAAATGCATATTCCATTACATTTCTTTTTGTGTCATAATTGTGCGCATTAATTTCCATCCAGCTGTGTAGCTTGAAACTAGCATCCACATTACATTTGCATCCTTCTTTGGAAAAGGGGTAAACTTGAGGGAGTTGATAAGTGGGTTTTATTGCAGTGCAACTTTTACAGTGACTCAAGGTTTGCAGTTTGTGTTATTGAGGTCTACCTAAGCCTACAGCTCAGAGAGAATGTTGGAAGCCAGACTGCAGGTGAGACCGGTGCCATCAGGCTCCACATTGATCTTCTTCACAACTCCATCTTCTACCAACATAGCATATCTGAAATAAAGGATCATTTTATAAAAACCATGTTCAAATGCAGTCTTAAAAAATCTTAAGAAAATAATCCTTACCTCTTGGATCGCTTGTTTCCAAGTACCTGAACAATCTGATCATTGTCAAGTAACAGGTCAACTTCCTAATTAGATGATAGAGAAAACCTGATGAGTACACAGTCACAGTACTTTAAATAGAACTTGAATACACCCCACATATAGTTTTACCTTTGTAAATGCTCCAGTAGGATCAGCCAGCATCCGAACCTGCAAAAGAAAAAAGCAGTACACTCCAAATTATTCATGATATTCATTATACATGTGAATTTTATTAGTCTTTAAGGTAGTACACTGTGATAATGTCTCACAGATGGCTGGGGCTACACACTCAAGTGAGGAATATCATGAATAGCATGTAATTGCTCAGGAGGCAGTTATAGTGTTGCTTTGATATCTAGAAGGACTATGCAATAATATTACCATCTTCTGAATAGTGACAATATGTGGTCAGATGTTAAATTAGAAGTTAGATTTACTGGACTAGACTTCACGGCTGTGACAGACATTGCTCTCACACAGAAGCTGTGGTCCGTACCTTGCCATCTGCTCCATGCTCCTTTCCCCAAGCAGCCATGACAAACGCGTCATTGACAGAGACGCAAGCAACTTCCTGAATACCTTTACTCTTCAAGTCCTCGGCCTGCTGCACGAAACCTGGGAGGTGAGTCTGAAAGCAACAAGAAAAACGTCAGGGCAACTGATGCGAAGGTCATTGTGCACAGGACATGTCAATCAAAGTAACGTGAGGACTCACCTTGGAACAACCAGGCGTAAAAGCTCCAGGTACAGCAAAGAGGACTCCTTTCTTCCCCTTAAAGAGCTTATCCATGGCCACCTTGTTTCCAGGCTCCCCCTCCTGGACCTCCACTGCGGGGAGATGTTCACCAACCTGGTGGAGATAGAGGAGACAAGAGTAGACTTGCTTTTTCAAATTACTATTGCCAACTATACAGATCATAGTTTGTCCTTTAAGCAGACAGAAAGTATTATTTTCTCCATCGGTATAATGTGTTCAAGACATTTTTTCCACCTCTTACTTTAATGATTCTAACTCAGCATTTTCACAATAGTACTGATATTGTGGACATCGGCAGGATAACATTATCTAGAGATGACCATGTGTCCGAAATGCAGCATCGACTGCCATTAACATATTTAGAGCATTATTGATGAATTTTTATACTATTTCAAGACAAAGCAGAAACCCTGTAAAAAGAAACAAATGTTCATGATTTTATTAAGTATAGTCACACAAAGGACAAGATTTGAAGGAAAGATGTGCATAAAACATAAAGATCAAATGTAATTTTGTAATTCCATTTTTTCAATGTTTTCAGTGTAGCTATTATTATTATTATTATCTTATATGATATATCCATCTATCTTTAAAATATAAAACCAATGTTAATAATTACTTTATCATGCATAGTCAAAGGATTGGATGTATGGGAAAAACATAGGAAAGATCAAACATACATTTTTCAATACCACATGTATTCACAACAGGGAACCAGGGATTATTAAATATATCATTATTGTTATAATTGTAATGAAACTTTCCAGTTATATGTGTGATTAATGTTTAGATTAGAGCATGGATATATTATAGATTAGAGCCTTGTGGATGAAGCGTGGATCATCTCAACAGTATTGATGCTTGATGCTCGGCGGCCACTGGAGGGCGACATAACAACACCCTTATAAGTACAGACCTCTTGTCAAAATGGCCGAATGAATAAGTCAATTAAATTCATTTCTGCAGATAAATAAATATAATACCAAAGAGATGAATAATGGCTCGCTTGTCACACGATCAGTGTTTAAAAGTCGAAGAAACACGTGTTGAAGTTTTGCAGTTTATTACAGATGATTGACAAACCAACCAAACAGGCTGTGTGAGGACTGGTCGTGTTCTTCACAGAATGAAGTTTAGTCTTGGACAGAATGAAGATCGACAAACAGACGAGGCAGCAGGTTTGACTTTGTACATGTTACATTAAACGTGTAACAGTACACCAGCACCTCCGACACTCACTGACAGCTTGTTTCATGTGCACACACAGTGAAGCAGCAGTAGTTGGTCCAGAACTGACAGCACAGACGATCGACTGACCACAGACTCATTCATCCCTGTTACAGTCCATCATGGCGGCCCCCTCTCTCTCTGAGGGGCCCTTAGCTCAGTGAGCTACACGGTCACAGTCAGACCATCTAACCTTCAGCTGCTGCTCGGTAACAATACACCGACGCGTCCTTGACCGAGAGCGGGTAGCATCCGCAGCTAACAGCGGCCGGAGTCTCACCTGGATGGGCATGTTGACGGTGGCGGAGCGGTGTAGCAGCCTGACAGCGCACTGGACCACACTGGTTCTCCTGGTGACGCTGGATGTGATGGAGAGCATGATTAGCTTTATGGAGCTAGCTAGCTCTGACGCGCGTGTGTGTAGCCTGTCTGTGCTAACCTGATGCTAACTCACACTCACACACCCCCCTCCTCTGGAGTTCCACTCACCCCGCCCCCCTCCACTCTCTGAGTTTGGCAGCTGAGTGTTAATCAGACTGAGGCCTCTGCTAAATCTATTTACTGCGCCATCTGCTAACAAGACGCCATATGTCTGATGAGTGTTTGTTACACGGGCTGATGAGTATATAAAGTAGTGATCTGTATATAAAGTACTATATATCTGCAGCTAGAGACATCACCCATCTATACACTCTATGTCTATCACAGAATGTATATAAAGTAATATATAACTGCAGCTGGAGACATGTCAACCTAGTTAAAGAAAATTAAGTTGCCATGGTATCCATCCATCCATCCATCTATCTATCTATCCATCTTTCTATCTTATCACATATTTCCATATATCGATCTCTCTATCCATTGATGTACAATCTATCTATCCATTCCATGTCGATCTCTTTATCAATTGATCAGTCTTATATCATCTATCTACCTTTCTATTGATCTATCTGTCTCACTATATGCACACGTTAAATCCACCAGACTGTATATAAAGTACATACACAATGTATAAGTGTATGTACAGTCTATTGTTATACATGTCACTACTATCGTCCACTGATTGCTTTATAGTCTTTATTTATTCTGGCTCAGTAGCTGCATGTGAAGTCTGTTCAGTATTTGTTTTGAAATACTGTCCCTCATCATCAGTGAAGTCTGTCAGAATGTCCCCGGTCAAAAACACTAAACATGAAGTTGAAAGTTTCAACAGTACTCTTCACCACACTGCCCTCATAATACAGAAACACGCACACAAACACACGTGCATAAATATCCACAGTGAGAGATGAGACCAATGATATGCGGTGGTGGTGGTGTGTCCGTTTATTACACAACACAAAGCACCTACAATAATCCACGCCCTGTGGGGACAGATAGTGGAAGATCTCACTTTTTTTTCACAGTGATTTTTTTAATGTGGACATGTTTAGACAAGGACATCAAACTGTTTTTCTCTAAATGGAAAAAAAGTAGCCTACACACAGAAATTCACAGCCAATATCACACACAAAAATAAAGCAGTGTCAACAAACAACAGTAAATTGAGTAAAAAATAGAATTTAATCATTTAAATAGTCTTTCAAAATACAAACATTGATTCGAACGTCTAAATAATATAACGTTTAGTAGCTATTCTTCATTATAACTGGCAATGTTAAATGTACACTGTGGCTATACAAGGAAATGTGTGAGGTTTGGTAATTTATTGTATTGCTCATTTATATTAATGCACACATATTTAATAGAAACTACAAATGACTGTATAATTTTAACAGCGTCACTGCAAATGATCCCCTCTTCACCATAACCCACCGTACCTAAAATGTATTTGTATGCTAATAAAAAAAAAGATTTACC